TAATCCCAGCTACTAGGGAGGCTAAGGCAAGAGAATTGCTTGAACCTGGGAGGCAGAGGTTGCAGTGAACCGAGATCGCGTCACTGCATTCCAGCCTGGGTGACAGAGCAAGATGCCATCTCAAAAACAAACAAACAAACAAACAAAATTAGCCAGGCATGGTGGTGCATGCCTGTAATCCCAGTTACTGGGGAGACTGAGGCAGGAGAATCGCTTGAACCTGGGAGGCAGAGGTTGCAGTGATCTGAGATCGTGCCATTGCACTCTAGCCCGGGCAACAGAACGAGACTCTGTCTAATTAAAAAAAGAAAGAAAAAACTATCTCAAAGAATGATGGTGCAGATTTTCAGGAGAACCTATATTCTACCTGTCTACCATGACACACTGGCCAAAGATCAGTCTTCCAGATCTTGAACACAGCCCAGTGCGGCTCTTTGGGAAGAGTACTCAAGATTTCTAGGCACATGGAAGCTCCTTTCAGACAAGTAGGTTCCTTGTACCCTTCCATCTAAGATCCCCCAGAACTGGTCTGGACGTCCTCATCAATGGCCACTTTCTGATGGAGGCATGTGGGGGAACCTAAATATGAATACCAAATTCGTTTCCCTCCCCAGTTGTCCCACCCTGAATCCCAACCACATATTTCTGGATACAGAGCCCGAGGAGAAGGATTTTTTCCACAACCCCATATCTTATTTATGTCTGAACTTCTCTGAGGACCAGTGAGGCAGCATAAGGAAGACCAAGGCTCCCTGTGGAAAAATGGGAAGAATAGTAAGACTCTCATCAAAAACACTTTTTTTTTGTCTGAGACGGAGTCTCGCTCTGCTGCCCAGGCTGGAGTGCAGTGGTGCGATCTTGGCTCACTGCAAGCTCCGCCTCCCGGGTTCACACCATTCTCCTGTCTCAGCCTCCCAAGCAGCTGGGACTACAGGTGCCTGCCACCATGCCCAGCTAATTTTTTGTATTTTTAGTAGAGACGGGGTTTCACCGTGTTAGCCAGGATGGTCTCGATCGACTGACCTCATGATCCACCCGCCTCAGCCTCCCAAAGTGCTGGGATTACAGGCATGAGCCACCATGCCTGGCCCAAAAACATTTAAATAAACACACATTTCATTGTTCCAGGACCAAAGGGGAAAAAGATATATATATATTTGGCTTAAGGGTAATGTTTCATCTCTCCACTCACCTTTCCATCCCTTCTTGGTTTTTGGCGCCTAAAATGGGAAAAACAAATCACATCAAGAATACCAAACAGTGAACACAGGTGGAAACTGGCAATGCAGAATGAATTGCATTGCCTTTTGCCAAGTCACCAGAGGCAGGAGCACCAATGGCATTTAGAGATGTTAAGTCCTTTATGCGTTTCTGTATTTTCTGAGAACTGACTCATCGGAGCGTGGACACAGCCCCACTAACCAGTGATGGGTACCAATGGGTGGGCAGAAGTCATTCCTATCCCAGACACGACATGCAAACCCTCCCAGTCGAGATGTCTGTCACCGGAAATGTCTTCTATTCCGTGCCCCTGATTCAATACCAGTGACAGACACTTAAAAACGCTTCCAGCCGGACACTCAGAGGCTCAGAAGAAACCTTGGTCGTCGAAAGTTTGGTATCAATGCCACCTCCTGTCACTCTTCTCCAGGGTCTCCATCCTGGTCCTTGCTGCCCAGCCCCCAGAGTGTTGCATGCAGTCAAGATCTTTGGGGGTGCAGGATGGGAGGCATGTTTGCTTTCCATGCATCTTACTCTGAACTCTGCCTACCATCTCACGGCTCTCGGGGGCGCTCGCAGCTCCTTCACAGCACTGGCCAGCTCATCTGGATTCTGCCCACATCAGGCTCATACTCCCTAATGAAGAAAATTAAAGTGATTGCTTAAAAATGATGTAGCTTTGGCTGGGCGCCGTGGCTCACACCTGTAATCCCAACGCTTTTAGAGGCCGAGGCGGGTAGATCACCTGAGGTCAGGAGTTCAAGACCAGCCTGGCCAACATGGTGAAACCCTGTCTCTACTAAAAACACAAAAATTAGCTGGGCGTGGTAGTGCACATCTGTAATGCCAGCTACTCAGGAGGCTGAGGCACTAGACTCGTTTGAACTTGGGATGTGGAGGCTGCAGTGAGCTGAGACTGTGCCAACCTAGGAGACAGAGTGAGACTCCGTCTCAAAAAAAAAAAAAAAAAAAAGAGAGAGAGACAGGGCGCAGTGGCTCACACCTGTAATCCCAGAACTCTTTGGGAGGCTGAGGCAGGTGGATCACCTGAGGTCAGGAGTTTGTGACCAGCTTGGCCAACATGGTAAAACCCCATCTCTACTAAAAAATACAAAAAATTAGCTGGGTGTGGTGGTGGGCACCTAGCTACTTGGCAGGCTGAGGCAGGAGAATCACTTGAACCCGCTAGATGGAAGTTGCAGTGAGCTGAGATCATGCTATGCATTCTAGCCTAGGCAACAGAGCAAGACTCCATCTCAAAAAAAAAAAAAAAAAAGATGGTTTAACAGAGCATGAATCCAAGGTTTATCAAAGCTTCTCTCACTTTGCCCATTCAAGAGGTAAAACCCATTTCCATAAATTAAAAATTCCTTATAGGGGATGCACTTCAGAAGAGGAGCAAAGTACTCTCAGGCTGGGCACGGTGGTTCACACCTGTTATCCCAGCACTTTGGGAAGCTGAGGTGGGCAGATCACTTGAGGTCAGGAGTTCAAGACCAGCCTGACCAACATGGTGAAATGTTGTCTCTACTAAAAATACAAAAACTAGCTGGGCGTGGTGGCACATGCCTGTAATCTCAGCTATTCAGGAGGCTGAGGCAGGAGACTCGCTTGAACCCAGGAGGAGAAGGTTGCAGTGAGCCAAGATCGCCCCACTGCACTCCAGCCTGGGCAACACGTGAGACTCTGTCTCAAAAAAAAAAAAAAAAGTGCTCTGGAGAACTTAACGGGCTTTCTAAAGCTTTGAGATTACTTGAAAAAAGGGCAGTGGCCATGATCCCTTACCCTGAAAGCTGATGCAGCAAGTGGCAAGTACGCATTTCAGAAAGGAGGTGGGTACCTGGCACCAAGGCTGAAACCCTTTCCCAGGCATCACCCATGACTACTTTCTAGGCGGCATTTAGCACAAAAGCAGGTGTGAGCTCTGGTTACTCTTTGATATTCTTTTTCTTTGTAAAATCTTTTTTTAGAGACAGGGTCTCACTGTGTTACCCAGGTTGCTATTGAACTCTGGGGCTCAAGCAATCCTCCTGCGTTGGTCTTCCAAAGTGCTGGGATTACAGGTATGAGCCACCACATCCAGCAACACGATTTTCACTGACGGTGGAAATATTTCCCTTTACATAGGCAGTAAATCTGACCCATTGAGAAGAGTTTTCTTCGGAATTAGCTCTCTCCCTCCCCCTCCTCCACTTTACCAAAACCCACCTACAGGATGTCCTGGAAGAAAGGAGTCAGAGGGGTCCTCTCTCTATCCCAGGTGTTGGCCTGTCCTGTATTGGAATGCAAGGGTTATCTGGGCTTACCTACAGAGTCCACCTTGAATAATTGAATACATGTGTTTTCTTTTTTTTTTTTAGATGGAGTCTTGCTTCTGTAGCCTAGGCTGGAGTGCAGTGGTGCCAACTTGGCTCACCGCAACCTCAGCCTCCCGGGTTCAAGCGAATCTCCTGCCTCAGCCTCCCGAGTAGCTGAGAATACAGGCGTGCACCACCATGCCCAGTTAATTTTTGTATTTTTAGTAGAGACGGGGTTTCACTGTTGGCCAGGCTGGTCTTGAACTCCTGACCTCGTGATCTGCCTGCCTTGGCCTCCCAAAGTGCTGGGATTACAGGTGTGAGCCACTGCGCTTGGCCTTCTTTCTTTTTTCCAGACACGGTCTCACTGTTGCCCAGGCTGGAGTGCAGTGGCGCGATCACAGCTCTCACAGATCACTGCAGCCTCGACCTCCTTTGGCTCAGGCGATCCTCCAATCTCAGCCTCCCTAGCAGCTGGGACCACAGGCACACGCCACCATGTCCGGCAAATTTTAAAAGTTTTTTGTGGAGACGGGCCTCCCTACGTTGCCCAGGGTCGTCCCAAACGCCTGGCCTCGAGTGATCCTCCCGCCTTGGCCTCCCGAAGTGTTGGGATTACAGGCATGAGCCACCGTGCCCGGCTTTGTGTTTCTTTTTCTCTGCAATGGCGACATCACGACCTACAAGTCCAAATGTGTCCCATAACACATCATGGAACTTCTGGCATCTCCTATCGATCCTGTACAGGCTTCAAACTATGGGGATTTTCTAGGCGTGGTTTGCCAAGGCCAAAGGGCTACGGTGTAACCCCGTCCCTACATCTATTCAGCCGACTCCATGCCAGGCGTTTTACAGATCCCGAGACCACCCCTAAACAAGACCCCTAACCGGAGTAGTCCCTCCGTCCCGAGGCTCCGCGCCCCTCAATGCGTCACCCTTCTGAGCGCCCGGCCTATATGGCCCCCGAGAGCAGCCTGTAATGCTCCCAGCCCCTGAAGCTTCCCGTTACGCGCCGTGTCCCCGGAGGTGCGGCCGCTGGGACCAGCACCGGCCCCGGCTCCATTCAGGTCGCCCAGCCCGGCCAGGCCTCCCGCTTCCAGCCGGTGCTGCCACCCTCAGTCGTCCGGCCTCCCGCGGAAAGGCGGGCGCGAGGCATCCTGGGAGTCGTAGTCGGCGGTTTGCTCACCTGCCCGCACAGAGGAGACAGGGACGACGTGAGGAACTACAGCTCCCAGGGAGCCGCGCGCGGCCGTTGGCGGGGCCGGGCCTCTGCCGGCGGTGGGCACGTTGCTAGGAGCTGCCCCAACGCCTCTCCAGGAAGAGGGCGCCAGGCTCAAAGGCCCTCTTGGGAACTGCCGAGACGCTTAAAAGTTCCTCCTGCCCACTTCTGAGGGCTGTCACGTGGCCAGCGCGGAGGCGTGAGAAATGTGTTGATATTGGGAGGTTGACGGGTGAATCCACGAATTCACCCGTGTTTATTCCACACCCCAAAGCTTGAGGGAAGTGACTGACCTTCCTGTTTAATGATCCAATCAAAGCTGTATAGCCAGAATGAAACCCAATACTGTCACCCCACAAAAAGATACGTCACATTTTTTCTAGTATGTGCTAATTATGAATTTTATTAAGGTTTATTCAATTTCACAGAGGAAAGAACGGTTTGTAGTTTGGCTTACCCGCAGTGCTGGCAGGTCACAGCTGTCTAACCATGATTCATTCACATGCTCTGGCCCCGTGCCCCTCGTCCTCCCACCTCTGCCCCCACAGGACACCATCAAGCCAGGGCTGGGTAACAGCATATGCTAAATACATCTTATCAGGTATGAACCAAACTCAAGCCACAACAGCAAAGGCGGAAAAAGGTAGCAAAGTAATTATGTGCTCCCAAGGCATACAGTCATTTAGTTGAATCCATAATAGTTGGAAATAAAAAGGCATTTATGAAGTGTAGTCCGCAGTCCGAATGTGGAAGGTGGAAGATCACACATTTACTAATCTAAGAAACACTCAAAACATATTTTGGTCTAAAAAATCCCCAATTTTCCATGATCTTCCCAAGACAACCAATGACCCACTTAAACTTAAGGCAGAAACACCCTTGAATCTAGGAACGTGCACATATGCAACAGCTAACATCTGGTAACTCTAACAATGTTCCTTACATGTTTCTGTGTTTACTATCATGGACCATAGGAATCAAGTACTGGAAAATTTAGTAAGTGTGCATAGTTAAAAGCAAAACACTGGCTGGGCGCAGTGGCTCACGCCTGTAATTCCAGCACTTTGGGAGGCTGAGGTGGGTGGATCACAAGGTCAGGAGTTCAAGACGAGCCTGGCCAACTTGGTGAAACCCCGTCTCTGCTAAAAATACAAAAAAATCAGACGGGCATGGCAGCAGGCGCCTGTAATCACAGCTACTCAGAAGGCTGAGGCGGAGAACTGCTTGAACCCAGGAGGCGGAGGTTGCAGTGAGCCAAGATTGCGCCACTACACTCTGGCCTGGGTGAAAGAGCAAGACAGCGTCTCAAAAACAAAAAAACAAAACAAGAAAAACCCAAAAAAAAACCATCAGTATTTTAAAATAAGTCATTTTAGTCCATTACAGTGTGACTTGTTCTAATCCTCCAATAACATAGTAAATAAACAGCAGAAATGACTTTCCTGCATTGTTTCATGAAAATGATCAAAACCTTTATCTAAGTCAGAACATCAACAAGACTCTTGGTCTCAGGTCATCAATTTCTTGGCACTCCTCTTCTCTCTAGCTGTAGTAGCAGCTACTGCTTGAAGACAACCTGTGTATCCCAGGCATACCCTCTACATGTATACAAAGATGTGTAGGTGTTACAGACCACCTACACCTAATTCACTTCCTAATAAGATGGATGGAGTAACTCGGAAAATACAGGAGGGATTTTGAGCCGCAGTTGTCTAAAGAATTATTGATTCACAGGATCTCCAAGATTATGCATTTGAAGAGTTTTATTTCTCCACCCAAAGCCCTGCAGTGAAGAAAATCCAAGAATTAAGATGTAACATGTTGGCTGGGCGAGGTGGCGCGGTGGCTTATGCCTGTAATCTCAGCACTTTGGGAGGTGGCGGGGGGTGTGTGCAGATCACCTGGCCAACATAGTGAAACCCCATCTCTGCTCAAAATACAAAAATTAGCCAAGTGTGATGGTGGGTGCCTGTAATCCCAGCTACTCAGGAGGCTGAGGTGGGAGAATCGCTTGAACCCAGGAGGTGAAGACTGCAGTAAGCCGAGATTGCACCATTGCATTCCTGCCTGGGCAACAGAGCAAGACTCCGTCTCAAAAAAAAAAAAAAAAAAAAAAAAAAAAAAAAAAAAGGTAACACTTTGGCCCAGCACAGCAGCTCACTCCTGTAATCCCAACCCTCTGGGAGGCCTGAGGTGGGAAGATCACCTGAGGCTACGAGTTCACGACCGGCCCAAGGCAACATAGCCATACCCTATCTCCAAAAAAAAAAAAAAAAAAAAAAATTAGCCAGGTGTGGTGGTGTACACCAGTAATCCCAGCTTCTCAGAAGAGTCCAAGGCAGGAGGATCACTTGAGTCCAAGAGTTGGTGGCCAAAGTGTGCTACAATCACACCACTGCATTCCAGCCTGGGTGAGAGTGAGACCCTTGTGGGGTGGAAAAAAAAGATCTAACATGTTAACTTTAGGAACTATAAAATGAAGTCGCCATTGCAGAGGTGTATATGATCTGAAATTACAAGTGGTGACTTCTCAGAAAGCATATGAACATAGTGAATGTTGTAATGTTCTGAAGATAAGCTGATACTTAGTAGTGATATGTTCTAAAGACAAGAACATGAGGGCCCCAAAGGCTATGTCACCAACTCTGCTTTGAGGTCACTAATTTTTAAATACAGAGCATAAAGTAGAACTCCAAACACTTGGGCAAGAAGAATCCATTACAAATAGCCAACACATTTCTATTAAACCTCACATTTTCAATTTTGTATTCGGTTGAGAGTACTTTTTAAAAAAAGGCTTAAATTAGTATTATCTGACACACACAAAAAAATCTCATTAATTCTACTCACTCTGGGCCAGGTGCTGTGGCTCACACCTGTAATCTCACACTTTGGGAGTCTGAGGCAAGATGATCACTTGAGCCCAGGAGTCTGAGACCAGCCTGGGCAACATGGCAAAACCCTGTCTCTACAAAAAAATAGAACAAATTAGCCAGGCGTGGGGGCACGTGCCTGTGGTCCCAGCTACTCAGGAGACTGAGGAGGGAGGACCATTTGAACCCAGGAGGCAGAGGTCACAGTGAGCCAAGATCCCACCATTGTACTCCAGTCTGGGTGACAGAGTGATACCCTGTCTCAAAAAGATAAAAATAAAAAATAAAATTCTTACTCAGTAATTTTGGAGAAGACAAGGTTAAAAGGTATCTTTGTACTTGTGAAAATGGCTCACAAAATTTTGACTCCAACAGACCCAAACTTGTCAGTGGCAGTCTAGTGTGGTAGAGAGAACAAACTGGACTTGCCACTTCCTTTAAGGTACAGCCAACAAATGTGTACCAAGTACTTCCAAGGACTCCTAAGGTGACTGGAGCCACTCACAACTATTGCTACAACTGCAGTAATTACAGCTGATTTATAGTTATCCACTCAGGCAGGTATCACTCCTTCCTTTTTTATTCTTAGTGTTCCCTAAATCTAATAAACCTATATTCTAAATTTCTTCATAATTTAAACCTAAGTTTAATTGTGTGGCATATTTTTTCTCTCTTAATAGTACAAATCAGCGAGGTTTACTGTATCTTTACTCTTGATTATACTGAATAAAGTTCAAGACAGAATATTTCAATATTAATAAAAATAGCATCAAACATCAGATTTAGATTTTATTTTATTATTTTTTGAGACGGAGTCTCGCTCAGCCACCCAGGCTGGAGTGCAGTGGCGTCATCTTGGCTTACTGCAATCTCCACCACCCCGCTCCCGGTTCAAGTGATTCTCCTGCCTCAGCCCCCTGAGTAGCTGGGACTACAGGCACGCGCCACCACCATGCCCAGCTAATTTTTGTATTTTTTTTTTTAGTAGAGATGGGATTTCACCATGTTGGCCAGGATGATCTCAAACTCCTGACCTCAGGTGATCCACCAGTCTCGGCCTCCCAAAGTGCTTGGATTACAGGTGTGAGCCACCGCACCTGGCCCCAGATTTAGATTTTAAATAAAACTTGAGGTACTGGGTCACAGGGGGCTCTGCAGGTCAATGATCTCCTCAAACCTGCAAAGACATCCCATCTATGCAAATGGATTAGGGGGGTGTCATTCCAAACACCCTCAGATCCTGCCCAGATATTCATCTGTGAACAAGGTATTTCAACACTAATTTTGAAACAATTCTACATCTAGCAGGTCAGTTTATCATTTTCCAGAATCTGAACTACTGTCAAGATAGACTCAAGTGAGATTAACTCAGGGTTAATCTTCAATCTTAACACAATTATCAATTAGTTCTCCCAGTGGAAAGATTTAGGCTTTTGTCAATATGTAGCATTTCTGCTGTAACCTAAAAGTCTCATATTACCAGTTCCCCAGGATAGATAGATATTATGTCAGGTCCCAAGAGAGGAATTATGTTTCCATGGAATTAAACCATATTTTCAGGACTGATTCTAGAACAGCTGGTTTCATGAGGCATATGGCGCATTTTAAAAAGCAAAAAAAAACCAACAACAACAACAAAGTGACTTACATTGACTTTAAGAAAAAATTAATTGAGATGTATTTAATCTTTAAATATAGAATGATTGTGTAAATTAGATTTCAGCTGAAAGGACAATTAGCAATTCAGATAAAGCTCCTAGAAATATACTGAAAACAAAGCCATACATATAGTAAGAAATGGAACCTACGGAACTTCCATTTTTCTAACCATAGTTTTTTGTTTTTGTTTTTTCCCAGTTGTTTTAAAAAAAAAAAAAACAAAACAAAACACCTCACCGTTTCAATGATTATATTTTCTGAACCAAAAATCAGAACACATGGTTTGTGTCAAAGGGTTTTTCTGTGCTACATCTGGGAGTAAGGTGACCTAAGCAACAATTTTTTAATGCCAAATATGGTAACCTCCAAGCTTTTAATGGCTTATGCCAAGATGACAGAATATTTGA